TCTTCCTTTTAGTCTACTACTTAAATCTGTTAAGTTTTCTTTAATCTTCGAATCTCTTATACTTTCTTCTATAATTGCATTCTCGAGAGTTGTTGCTGTGATTTTTACTCTGACTTCTTGTTCTGGTCTAGGCATATCTACTATATCTTTTTTCACTATATATGCTGAGATAGGTGCTTTTAGTATAATACTTTCCCCTTCCTTTGTTATGTCTGCTATTTGATGCCATTCGTTGAGTTTTATACTAATTTCACAGGTATTGTTGTTAGAATTCCCTCTCATACATTTTTTGCATCTAATAAAAGATTCATGCTCAGGTTCCTGTTCTAAATTCTGTTGCCAATGTTCTGCTACTACAACTTTCTCAGATTTCTTTATAACTTTGCCTAGTTGTATTTTGTTATTCTTTTTAAAGAGGAACTATTCTTTTTTCCTTTTATCTTGAGATATTCTTTTCAGTCTAATTTTTATTGCTTTTTTGTTTGTATTCTTAATTTTGAATATATCCTTTACTTCTCTGCTTTTGCCTACCTTAAGTACTTTTTGTTCAAGGTTTAGGTACCAGTTTGGTGTACGTCCTTTCTTTTGTACTGATCTTATATGTTTGACTTGTTGCCAAGTTAGCATATACTTTCCCGAGTTATCAATTAATTGCTCTATATTAAACTAACTTATTATTTATATTATACAGTAAGCTTCTAATATAAAATATATAATTTTATTAATCATTTTCAGATTCACAAGATTACAATAAACTTAAAAATACATTTGAAAGAACTAAGCAGTTTCTATATAAACCACTAACTTTAAACTTCCTAACAGAAAAAATAGCTTTATATTTATTAGGATACTTCTATAAAGTCTTCAAGAATCGCGAAAAAAATAAACCTATTAATAAAGATAAATATAAATTAATAACTCTAGAAGAAATAGTCAATTTATGATATCTTCGCACAGCATATAATACTAGTATACCTCTATTGCCAGACATTTGTGATTATTGTTACAAAAAACTTGGTGATAATGAAGTACTAGTTTGCAGATATAAGTACTATTTTGAATGTTATCAAATCATGGAATATAGTTGCTATTGCTATGAGAAATATTACAAACATAGAGTTTATGATAATGTTAAATCTTTTTTAAAAAGATTAGAAAAAGGTCCAAATATACTTATCACTGAAGAGAAGAAGGATCTTGAAAAAACTTTAAACGAAGATGACAACATAGTAGAAGAAGTAGACCTAAATAAAACCCAAGATATGCATGTAGCTTTTTTAAAAGCAATTAACCAAGTTAGTACTTGGTAATATTATTAAGCTTTCAGCAGTAGAAGTTCAATAAACTACCACTATTTTAAAGTTTCGAGTATTTAATATCTAAAATATTGATCTCTTATTTAAATTCTTTACTTACCGGATCTATTTGGATCTTATTTTATTAAACGACAAAGAAGTGCAAGTTTTAGGTATACACGTT